GAAAAATGGAATATATGTGATAGTATCCACCGTCTACATACCAAATTTCAGATCGATATCTCGTTCTTTGGCCAAGTTATAGCGAAAAAACTGATCAAAAATGATGACGTCAAAATTTCAAGCTCAATTTTTGGCAATTCTAGACCACGTAGGGCAAAACAAAGACCACCATTAGACTCCCCGTGACGAGCTGCATGGAATCGATACCCACTTTATGCTAAAATATCAACTTTGAAATTTGGCCTAATTTGACCTGACCTTGACCTGATCTTCACCAAAACGTGACCTAAGCTAGCCCCAAAGGCTGTCTGACCCACATAATCGCATTTGTCATGTAAAATGAACCATAAAACATGTATCACACAACACTTTCATATTGTGACCCCCAGTGACCTGACCTGGTATCAGTGACCTCAGATAGCAAAGTATATGTTTGACGAACAATGTACCATCGATGGTTTTCAATAGCTTACCAATTTACTCGATTTCACAACACATTTCTTGAAATGCCTGTGAACGGTGAAAATCCGACCTTTAACCTGACCTGTGACGTCATCGGTTTGACCTAGGTCAATGAAATTTGGTCACAAGGTAGTTCCCCGGTGGGACTATGGAACGCCGTTTGAATTTTGAAAATCGGCCGGTAAATTTCCGAGATCTTTGGGGGGGGGGGGGGCGAAAGGCCCCCCCCCCTACGGGTGGTAGGGTCCGCCGATAGCCCTGCGGGGCGCGGGTTAAAGACAGATCGGGCTCCTTTTTGGTTAACACATTCGTGAACAGATGCTTTAGATACCCTGTGAGTACCAAACTTGTACTTTGATTTTCAGGTCATGGTCAGGTCATCACAGCCCAGCCACAGGTCACGCAAATCCTATATCATGCATCGGTCACGTGACATATGGTCCATTTAGGCCATAGATTTCGAATTCGATGTCGTTTGTGTCATTCGAGGCCATTTTGAGATGAATTTAGCTTATGTCAGGCCACTCAGGTAAAAAAGGTCAATTTTTTAAGTTAAAATTTTTGAAACAAAAAAAAGATGTCTATCGGATGCAGTTTGAGCTCAGAAACACGATGGTGCTATTTATATTGATGTACGATGTCAATTACATACTGAAAATTGATTTTAAAAAATTATAATTGTAAATTTTTTTGCTATAATGCAAATAACTTAGCCATTTTTGAAGATATCTGGCTACAATTTGCTAAAGTAAGTCTGAAGCATGTGTTCTATCACACATATCGTTTTTTTTCGAAAAGTCAAAACTTTTGAATAAAGGATTAAAATATACATTTTAAATTTAAATATACATATATATACTTTTTGACCTTTTTGAAATTTTGAAAATCCGAGATAGCAGTTTGATAGCGCAGTCTATTCTGAGTCCTCTCATGCAAAGAAATTGGATTTAGCTTAAAACTTAGCCCTTCGTAGCGATTGCTGTGGTTCAATGTTTTGCGTCGAAATCGGCCGAATATGACGTCACTGATGTCATTTCCGGCCGACCTATGGCAGCAACGAAGTTCATATTTTGACACAAGGTGTCAAATTGATGCAGCTGAAGGTACATAATGTTTGGCGTCGATGCGTAAAGTGGTTTGGAAGTTATTGCAGAAAAACGGGAGGGGGCTATGAATAGCCCCCCCTTCCAGTGCAGCTGAAAGTGCGGCACTTGTTGCGCGCAAAGCAGCATACCTCTACCACCGCGTGCTACCTAACGTTTTAGTAAAAGATTTAAAATCGTTAGATCTGCGCTGATGTCACACATTCAGATGGGGTATTCAAATGCATTAGCCCCTCTGAATCCAAAGTGCTGCAACTTTGAAATGAGATGTTTTCGATTGGAGGCATTTTTCGATGTTGTGAGTCACAGGGGAGCACTGCTGCTTCAACCCTATTGGCCTTAGTGTCTAACGGTGGCGGTCATGTTGCGCAGGCCGGGAACCGGCCGCCGCCTGTGTTGACGAATAGGGAATTCGGGACCTCGATTTACGTTTGTGGCCGCCGCATCCGTTACGTTCAAGTTACGGAGTCACGGAACCCGGCATCTTACGCGGAATCGAGTGGAGAACACGATCAAATCTTCAGAATTCCTCAGATATAGGGAACTTATGTGTTTATCACCCGCCGGACCCGTTTTTGGTACCTACAGTGTTTCTACATTTTTTTTCGCACATGTGAAAAGTTAAGACTCGGGTCTTTCAAGGCCAGGTCACCAGGTCATCACCAGGTGATATCAAATGACCTTACCTCAGGAAAAGTTCAAAGGCTCGCTGTAGCTAGATCGATGAACGATCATTTTGAAACTTTCAGCAATCAGCGATTGATAAGAGTAACATTATGTTAAATATTTATGCCTCGGATTTTTTTTTTATTTCTGTGACCCATCGTCAGGACCTGTGATCTCCATTATAAGTCAATGGAAGAACATTAAAATGCGCCTCTTTTGGACGAATGTCGTTCTAAACCCTCTGAAACATTAGTTCATAGGTAAACACTAAACATGACACACGGAATCGGAAAAGTGCACCTGTGACCACTCTGTGTGCCCCTCAGGTCATGAAAGGTCACCAACAGTTTTTTTTTTTTACTAACTTTTGATAGAGACATGCTGGAGCGGTGAAAACATGTCAGATGTGTTCAGCTTGACAATACGGATTGACTGATATGCAACATGGCCCTTTCCGGTCGGGTCATGACCTTGACTTGTGATCACATTTTTAAAATGACGAGGGATACTCGAGTGATACGAGGGATAGAGAGGCCTGTAAAAGGGCTATCGAATGCGCTTTTCCGCGGCGCTGTAGCTCTATTGGTTCCCAAGTTAGCCGTCGGCAGTTTCCAAAATTGTTGTAATGGACTAAATTTGACCTTTGATGACCTCTGGCGACCTGACCTTTGACCTCACCAAAAAATGAACGAAGTGTTTTCGTCATTATTTTGATGTTCTTTCCATTGCCGCTTACTGCGAGTCGCTGCGTGGCTGCGTGTCATGTTTAGTGTTTACCTATGAACTAATGTTTCAGAGGGTTTAGAACGACATTCGTCCAAAAGAGGCGCATTTTAATGTTCTTCCATTGACTTATAATGGAGATCACAGGTCTCTATTCCTGCATGCTTATACCCGACTCAGACTCTGGGCAGTAATCGCCACGCCATGTGTGGATCGCCCATGATCGTAAATACAATACAATACAATACAATACAAGAGCCGAGTTAGATGGCGGGGGGGGGGATTGGGGCGTGAAAACGCACCCCCCCCCAGCACGAAACGGAAAACGCATGCCACCAGCACGGGGCGGGTTGAGTATGTAATATGTATCATCGGCCTTATCTTGTTACGGGCAATACGCTCGTTTTTTCCGCGAAGCTCGCGGCTGGCAAAACACGAGCGAGGGTTAAAGTAAAGTGCTACGTTTATTCTTTTTTTACGTGTTCGTTGCTTTGTCTTTGTTTATTCATCTTCTTTGGTCACTTGTTTCATCTTCATTTGTTTTCGTTGGCACGGTCGTTGACGGCGGGGACGAGGAGCCAGTTTGCGGATTAGGGTTATATAACGACCTCCACGCGGATATCACCGCAGACGCGGCTAGCCCATCGGATTGCAGTCTGATTGGCTGGCTTATATAACGCAGCAATATGTGATTGGATATATAAGTGCTTTACGTTTGTGTCGACTCACTACGTTTACGTGCCCGTCCCGCCCAGACCTCAGGTCATGATGGAGCGCACTTCTGTGTGCTTTGTGCTGTTGATTTGCACTGCTGGCCTGTGCCTGGCCAACTACTCCGAACTTGGTCTGTGTCCCAGTACTCCGCGTCAGGCCGACCTACGTCCCGACCGGCTCGCCGGCGTCTGGTACGAACAGATGCGCTACTTCGACCCGGGTTTCAGCGCTCGCTGCACGCGCTGGCAGCTGTCGCGCTCGGATGGCGACGACGGCGCGTTGCGCCTGAACGAGACACGGCTGGACGCGGTCGACGGCAGCCGATACGAGACCGTGGAGACGGTGCGGCCGGCCGGCGGCGCCGACCAGCCGCTCAGCTCGCCGCGCTTCGACCACATCGTGGTGGCGGCCACCGACTACACGGCGCACGCCGTGGTGCTGCTCTGCCGCCAGCACCGCGGCTTCCACGCGCGCACCGTTCTGGTGCTGACTCGGCAGAGGGCGCCCGAGCGGCGCCGGCTGCGCGCGCTGCTGGACCGGCTGCGGGCCGACGGCCTGCTGGTCGACCGGCTGGTGCAGACTGCGCAGGACAACTGCCCCGACGGCGGCCCCTGAGCGCCGCCCTCTCGGCCGCCGGAACCACGGCGGAACCACGGCGCACGCGCCGCTGGATCGACACCGCTCCGTTCATGCTGTGTAATGTTAAGTTTTGCATTCAAACAGAAGGCCATTTCGTTTTTCCGCTGAATAATGTTGTTCGAGAAATGAATAAGCCAGTAGTCACTTTCATCAGTTATATTTCCTAATCGGGCATCGACGTTTTTGGAACTTACCATTACGCCGATGGTTCGTTCGTTTGGTTACGTGGTTTTGTTAAATGCATGATGAAATATGTCCTCTATACAATTTCTTGTTTAAATAAACGTGTTTTTGCCCGTACTAGCACTTGCCGTCCGAAACGACGGTAGTGCTAGTATGGACGATGCACAAAGCCGTGTATGGTGTGTAACACTTGTCCGGCGTCTTGGGCTATGTTTTATAACTCGTATGACATGCATAAGAATCTGAATGATTTGTTAGATGCAGGTATTTTATTTCATGATATTCAAGAACAGTTTTTATGTACCTAAAGGATGATCCGCATTTGTCCTTCAATATCGGTAAAGAACGATTAAAAAGCTTCCTGGCATTGCGCAATGCTGGTGCACTACCCGGAGTTTTGCCGGGAGGTGCTCGTCGCCGACTGCCGGCCGCGCTCGACACGCCGTGGCCGTCAGAGCGGGCGCAGGGTGACCAGCCACTGACCCGACGCGTGTTTCGTCTCTCCCGCAGGGTGCCGCCTGCCGCCGGCTCTGATCACTGGTCCGTCGCACCATGTATAATGGCATAGGACTGCAGACAGTTCGCGGATCAGGCACCAACGGGTACGTACAGAACAATCTCTCGTTCGTTAAGCAAACCCGCGATAAGGTTAAGTACAGGGACGAGGACGATTTGAAGCGCCTGGAGGCACAGGTCAACCGTGAGCCCAACGAAGAGATCCTAGATCACCAGCGCAAGCGTAAGATCGAGCTCAAGTGTGTCGAGTATCAGGAGCTGCTTCAGGAGCAGGGCTTGTCCCCTGACACTCTTCAGAGGCGTGTCGATCGTTATCGCGAGAAGCTCGCTGACCAGCTGCCGCGCTCACGTGCCTCGGGCGTTGAGCGTGACGCGCAGGGCCGGCCGCTGACGAAGGAGTCCCATCAGATGGCCGAGGCGCAGCAGGAGAAGAACAGCAGACTCAAGGACGCTTTCGGAATCTCAGAGCACTTTGTTGACGGCAGCAGTTTCGATCCGAACCGACGGGCGAAAGAGGAAGAGGCCAGGAAAGAGAAAGAGTCAAAGAAGGAAAAGGAGAGGAACACTCTGGTGAGGTCACCCAGTGCGAGTCCCAGTCCGAAGAAGAAGCACAAGAAGGACAAGTCTAATAAGGCGGAGAAGAAGGCAAAGAAGGCTAAGAAGCAAAAAGACGATAAAGAGAAAAGTAAGCACAAGAAGAAGAACAAGGACAAGAAGAAAAAGTCCAAGAAACGCCGAGACCGGTCCCCCGAGTCTTCCGAGTCGGAGGCGAGCCGCTCTCCGTCGCCATCGGCCGGCGAGTCCGGAGAGGAAGGCGTCCCGGCGCGCAGAGCCGCTTCCCCGCCAGAGAGGCGTCGCCAGAGTCGCTCGCCCGGTCCACGCTCTCGCCGCTCTCCCACCCCGGAGATGAGGAACGGCACGAGAAACGCTAGCGCCGATAGCGCCTCTCCGTCGCCCAAGAAGTCGCGCGGCCGGAGTCCAGAGGAGCAGGTGACCCGTCGACGGGCCAGCTCTGAGTCGGACGCGTCGCCACGCCAGAGTCCGGCTCGTGCCGGACGCCGTCGACCCGCGTCCCCGTCTCCGGCGCGCGGAGGTAGTCGTCGGCGCACTCCGAGTCCCGCTAAAAGGCGAGGCAGCTCGTCACCTGAGGCTCGCAAGCCTCGATCGCCGTCACCGGCAAAGCGTCGCAGGCGAAGCCGAAGCTCAAGCGCATCATCAGACGACTCACGCGACCGCCGCCGTCGCAGGCGTTCCGATAGTCGCGACCGCCGCCGTCGCAGGCGCTCCGACAGCCGCGATCGCCGCCGCCGTTCGCGCTCCCGGTCCCGCAGCCGTGACCGCCGCCGCCGCTCCCGCACCCGCAGTCCCGTCCGCCGCCGCCGCTCTCGCACACGCAGCCCGGTTCGTCGTCGCTCTCGCTCGCGCAGTCCGGCGCGCCGGCGGTCCAGAACGCGCAGTCCAGTCCGCCGGCGCTCGCGCACGCGCAGTCCGCTGCCGCCGCGCCGTCGGCGCCGCTCGAGCTCGTCGGACCGCGGTGGTCGACGCGCTGCTCCGCCAGCGGCGCGGCGCTCTCGCAGTCGCTCGCGCTCTCGCGGCTCGGGAGCTCCACCGGTGCCCAAGAACATGGGTACTGGGAAGTCGGGGGTTAGCCGAAGCTTCCTTGAGAAGCTCGCGGGCTATTCGTTTGACAAGCCGGGCGATGCCCCGGCGGCGGCTGCGGCCCCGCCGGCCGCACGCCGGTCCCCCAGTCGCAGCACGAGTCGCTCCTCGAGCCGCTCGCCGCCGCCCAAGAAGGGTCGTGCGCGTTCTCCGAGCTCGGGCTCGTCGCGTTCGCCGAGCCCCAAGGGCCGCCGCCGTACCTCGCGCTCCGAGAGTCCCGAGACGCTGCGCCGGGCTATCCTTGCTCGCATGGCCGAGAAGAAGAAGAAGAGCGGGGGGCGCCGCTCGCCATCCGGCTCTGACTGAGCCGTGTGCGCGCGGAGCCGCGTGCCAAGTTAGCAGCCACCATCGAGACGGCGGCGCGTCGCAGCGCGCCGGCCGGCGGGACGCGCGGACTCGGTGGCTGAGCAGCGGTAGCGGAGTGCCGCCTCCACCAGCAGCGCCGTTTCGCGAGTGAGCTCGAGTTTCTTATGTGAAGGGGCGTGCGTGTCAATGTGAATGGGCAGTTGTGACTCATTGTCACTTGGTGAGCGTGTGTGCCGATCGAAGCCGGGTCGCGGCAGTTCGCCGCTGGCCTCGGCGTGTTATGCGCGGTGGGTGACCTCTGTGGCGTCTGTAGCTGCGGCGCGCCGCCGCCTCGTGCAGCGGACGGGGCCGGCGCACCACTTTGTCGTCACGAGTTTCCATGCGTTTGTGTAGCGCCGTAAGCGGTGATGTCTTATTTTTAAATGCCGTCACCGCAGGCTCTCATCCCCTACTGTACCATCCGGAGCAGTATCTTGTGACCAGGTGTCAGTTGGTACAATACATCATTTAATGTGGTACTAGTTTTTAGCACCGCGTCTTATTATTCAATGACATCCATTCGTATTGCTAACTCATGCCATTGTGCTTCATTTGCGAGACTGCTAAGTATGCGCTAATGCTTGTGTTTCTGTGTTATATATTTCCTTTTTTTTGTGGTAAGCGTGAAGTCCAATGTAAATCAAGCTTTTTTATTGAGGGAAGCGTGAAGTCCAATGGAAAGCCAAGCAATTGGGGTTAGGGCTGTGATGGGGGGGGAGTGATTAGAGCTTTTTTTATTCGTCGGTAAGCGAACGGCGCTATACTGTAATCACAGATTGACATTGTCTCGCACAACCTTAATCGCACATTGGGTGTTTCATTCAAGTTTTTTTCCCGTGTCTGATGTTCATTCGTTACATACTTTTTTGCCAGTAAAAGACGTCAGGCGTGCGAACAAACTGTCGGTTAGGTACCTATTCCAGCAGGTGGTCCTCATATCGTTTGAGCACGTGTCTTGAGGTAGCGTGAGCGGAGCCGACCTGACCGGACACCGTCTCATTGCAGTCAGCTCGGCTGCCGGCCAGGGCGCTGCGCGCACCTCGCCGGCCTCTAGTAGACTGTGCGTTCGCCGCCGACGGGCGACGGCGTGCGAGCGCCGCCCGGGACGGTGCGCGGCGCCAGCCTCTCCGCCATGACCGGCCCTGCGGCCGAGCAGGCCGCCCTGACGGCGGCTCACCCGCCGCGGCACTCCGCGGGGGCCGCTGAACCCGTGCGGCACTTCGCGGGGGCCGCTGAACCCGTGCGGCACTCCGCGGGGGCCGCTGAACCCCTGCGGCACACCGCGGGGGCCGCTGAACCCCTGCGGCACTCCGCGGGGGCCGCTGAACCCGTGCGGCACTCCGCGGGGGCCGCTGAACCCCTGCGGCACACCGCGAGGGCCGCTGAACCCCTGCGGCACTCCGCGGGGGCCGCCGACTACCCGCCGCGGCAGGCCGCGGGACTATGGTGTGGCCCGGAGCCGGACGCGCGCCGGCCGCCGCCGGTGCTCGGCGGCGCCGACGCTCCGCTGGTGGTGTCTGTGGCAGCCGGATGGCGCGCGGCCGGCGAGCAGGCGCCGCTGCGCGCCCTGCGGCTCGCCTCGCCACACTCGGCACGGTATGTGAGCCGGCCCAGCCGCGCGCGCTGACTCTGCTCCACAGGCGGTCAGCAGATCCGGTGACGGGGACGGGGCTCGCCTGCCGACTCCGGGTTGACTCGGTACCCAGTGGGTGTCACTGATGGTAAGTGGCCGGCCGTGAACGGGCCAGCCTCCAAACGCGACAGCGACACGCTTCGTTGAAAATCGCCTCCTGCTTTACTGGTCTCTTATGCTCGAGCGCACATAGCTGTCAGTCGAGGCGGCACATAGGGTTTGAGATTGCACACGCTGAGTGAGTGAACGAGATTTCAGGACCGAGTGAGTGATTGAGTGTAGAAAATGTGTTGAAACACCTGGCGGAACTTACTTAAAAACACAAAAATTTAGTATGGAAATGTGTTAAGCATCACCAGGGCCTCGTTTCATAAAGCGACTCCGTAACTTACGCCGGTTTTGGTCTTGTATTGCAAGTGCATGTGAAGCGATGACGATAGTTTGACCCTTGAATTTATTTATTTATTTATCTTGCAAGCAAGAACAGAAGGGAGAAGGGGAAATAAATTTATCGCTTCACATGCGCTTGCAATACAAGATCAGAAACCGGCGTAAGTTACGGACTCGCTTTATGAAATCAGGCCCAGGATGTGTTCGAACTGAAGTGCAGGCCATGCTGGTGCCAATTGATGGGGCTCGATGACGCACCGGTGGCGGGTGCGACGCTGTGACCGCTCTCTGAACGGCAGGGTACCTCTGCAGGACTGGGTGGCGCCGTCCACGTGCGTGCTGCTCGAGCGAGAGGAGGGCGCCGCTGGCGGGCTCCGCCCCGGACTGACGGTGGCTGTGGCCGACGGCCGTCCGCTGGCGATCGCCGGGGTCACCGTCCTGTCAGAGGTCAGCAGGGCCGCTCTCCCCAGCCGTCAGCGAACCACTCCCCCACAGCCAGGTGACACAGACCCAGACCCTGTCCCCGCAATGCTTGGCAACAAGAGGTGAGCAAGGTCAACGACGGCTCGGTTGAACCTGTAGTTCTTATTTCTGATTGTCAGGCGCGAAACGACCATCGTAGCCAGCGATGGTTGGTGCCTGATGCCCCAATTAACAGCAAACACTGCAGCGAGATGGGGGGGGGGGGGGCGCTCTGTTACTGGCGAGCGTGGGACCGAGTGAGTGTTTCGTAGCTTTCCTATGGGCATTACGGGCAGAAGTAGTTCAAAATTCAGCCTTTTATGCCCCGGTAGTGTGCTCTAGTGCCGTGGTTGTCTAAGGTGTCCCGATAAGTGTCCTATGGGCCGTGGTTGTACTATGGTGCCGCGAGTGTCTGGTGACTATGTGGTGTGCTCTGGTGCCGCGAGTGTCGGTGGTGTCCCAGTAGTGTCCTATGGTGCCGTGGTTGTCCTATGGTGCCGCGAGTGTCGGTGGTGTCCCGGTAGTGTGTTCTGGAGCCGCTAGTGTCTGTGGTGTCCCAGTAGTGTTTCCTATGGTGCCGTGGTTGTCCTATGGTGCCGCAAGTGTCGGTGGTGTCCCGGTAGTGTCCTATGGTGCCGCGAGTGTCGGTGGTGTCCCGGTAGTGTGCTCTGGAGCCGCTAGTGTCGGTGCTATACTCGGGCGGCCGGTGGTGAGCTCCTGCGGCGTGTATCCAGTTCGGGAGGTGTGAGCTGTTTGGCGATCACGGCGAGTACCTGGCCACCGAGGACGCCCGCCTCGAGGAGGCCGTGGACGACACGGAAGTGCGCTGTCTGCGGCACCGCTGCCGCCCGCCCGTCCGCCAGCTCACTCTGCAGGTACCTGCCACCGTCTGGCTTGTCATATCGATCAGTGAAAACAAAACACGTCTGATGTGATTCATGCGAATGGGGATGCGTCGGGTCCGACCGCTGACCGCCGCTGGTGCGACTATCCGCAGCGTCTGACCCGTCCGCCCGTTCTGCAGTGTGTGAGCGCGGCCGGCCGCCGCCAGCTGTGGCTCTACGGCCTGGAGGTGGAGCTGGAGCCGGCCGCCGCCCGGACAGCGTTCTCGCTGCCGGCGGTGCTGGCCCGGCTGCACGCGCAGCAGGCGCCGCTCTCGGAGGGAGCCGAGCTGGCGCTGCGCGCCGCGCTGGCCGGCTCCGGGCCGGCGCCGCCCGGCCGAACCGCGCTGGCCGCCGGCTGCCGGACACCGGCAGGGGAGCCGGCCGAAGGCGGGAGTCGGGGCGGCGCGGAGCCGGCCGGTGCTGAGGGGGGACATGGGCCGGGACCGGCCGTGGTGGAGCGGTGCCTGGACCGCAGCTGTGTGGCGGCGATTGAGCAGAGACTTTGGCAGAGGATCGGGCCCCGACTGGAGCGGATCGAGCGCCAACAGGACGCGATCCTGGCGGCGCTCCACCGACTGGGCCGGGCGGTGTCGGCCCGGGAAGCGGCTCCCGACATCGGGTCGGAGGACCGGGCCGGTTCCGACAGGCTTGGCCGACAGTGATTAGTGTGACGCACGCGAAACTGTGAATTAATTAATCGCAATTCGCAACTAGTTGTGTTGAGGCAGGAAGCCGTCTGAACGGACCGAGTCACGCCTCTTCCACCGACGCATTAAAGATGAACATATTCATCTGCGAACCAAAACCGAGGATACTCAATGACTTGATTGCTTTCTTCTTTCCTTAGAAGGCGAGCAGTACATGAAATGCACGCGAGATGTGAACAAGGTTGAATCGTCTTTCTTCGTCTGCGTTTCTTGTTGCTGGATCGGAGGGTTGTGCATTTTTGTCGCTTTTGCCTGATGCTGTCATAACTGGCAAGCACTGGGCGGATCAAGGCGAAATCGCCACCAATCGATTCGCCGTGCACTGTTTCACCAGTAATTTCGAATTGGGCGACCTCAGGTAACATAAGTTATCATAAGTACCTGTTATCATAAGTAACATAAGGTAACATAAGTACCTGCTAAGTTATCAGATGACTGTCAAACGGAGCGCTAAGTTGACTCCTCGAGGTCACCACATTCCAAACCGATGGTTAAATTCCGTACGGCCAATCGGATGGTGGAATTTTTGTCTCGGTTCTTGTTAGAATATAGGATGCGTAAAAAACATTAAGTTATTTCACTTCCGGGGTCGCCGTATTCAAGCCGCTAACTGAAATCGTTTGCAGTGAAACGATTGGAAGTGTTTTGTCTCAATCGGTCTAGAAGTCGCTGAATTATGGTCGATTTTTCCCTGCTGATCCCAAAGTGCTCCGTCTGTTTTCTTCAGGTTCACAATGAAATGAGAAATACCAGCACAGCAGCTGTGCCAGGTACACATCATGTTACGTCCGGCACTATGGCCTGCACAATTTTGTGCAAAATCCGCACCACATTACCGAACCCCACATTCTACCTTCGGGCTGCGGTGGTTGGGTTGCCCCCCGGGCCCGGCCGGTTGAAGGTCGCGAACAAATAAAACTATTAAACTAGATTGCGGGACACAAACCTGTGAAAACGTTGTTTGTTGTTCGTTGAGATGTAAAATGGTGTATTCCTCAGAACAATAGTCAGTACCTAGTTCTCTTTTTTTTCCGTAATACGTATATGTGCGATTCTCTCACACAGATCGAACGAGAGATCCGCTTTTTGAGGGTTATGTACCCCAGATCAAGGAGTTTGTGACCATCGAATCGAGAGTATGGTAAAGGAAGGTAAGCAAGGGGAGAGTAATTCGGAGGGCAAATCGCAAAACAAAACAAATTGAACGGTAACTCCCATTTCAAGGGTGACCCCCTCAAGAAATACCTCCGTTTCGAGGGTTCACCTTCGAAACGGGGGTAAATTTCTTTTCAGTGCACGATTGATATACCTACCAGAATAAGCTCCATTAGGGCGACCCACATACATTTCCAGATAACCCGGATAATATAGAGATAGAGAGAGTATTGAGTATTGAGTATGAGGCAATATATGTATAGGGTGCAAAATGACCTGACCTGGCTCTAAGCCACAACACGTGGCTAAACTAGCCTCGGGGCAAAGCTATAGTCACTGTTTAGCGGCACGCTGCTACCCAGTACCTCACATCATCAGGTATGGGTGCCTCCGTTCCTATGGAAACGTAAGCAAACTTCACAATGTTACCAACGTCTTTATGGAAACCGGCTAAGTGTCGATACTTTGTAGCGGCGGGAAAGGTCGTATCGTGAAACAGGGGCCGATATCCACCTATAGTCACGTTAATGGCCAGCTCGTTGGATTTGCTCCGATGTTATCTACTCCAACTGGTATCCGGTGACCGTCTAGATAGGAACAGGGGATGAACTCGTACTATGGGCAGACGGATGAGGAAAGGTCTTCGTGCACCGGGCCAAAAACGACGTTAAAGTTGCGAGGACGTGCTTTGCTCATACAACTGAAGCATACCTAACTAGAAACATTTGGATCATTATGCATGCTCCAGCTGATTAGGGAATAAGGTATGTTAACATTTCCATGTTATGGTAACATGCCAGCTGTTGAGAGACTCTGTAATTTAATCCGTTCACGAATCACAACCTTTATTTGTTTTTGTTTTGTTGGGTTAGGCCATTTCGGTCCATTGAGACCATTGCAGAGCCGGAAGGATTATAGGAATTGGGGGAAACATTGGTCTGGACAGGCACCCTAGAGAGTCACCGGGGCTGAGCCCGTCCGAATGGACAGGCCGACCAGACCCCCAAGCACTCTCTGCACCCGGCTCCGGGTGTGCTCCCTTGAGAGCAGTGGTGCGCTTCAAGGGAGCAGCCCGCATGAGATAAAGTTGCCCATGTCCAGCCCGGATCGAGAGTTGCTGCGTGGAGAAGAAGGATTTGAACTTGATCTGAACATCCTGATGATGGAAACGACGGACGGGTGTTGCGTTCACACTCGTTTCCCCGTGCCTTTTAACCTTGCTTTTAACACTGGTTGCGGCGGGCGGCCGGCTCCCCTCCTTAGTGAAGATATCCGCGCCGCTAGATGGCAGCCCGCTCCGCGGGTACACCGATAACAATGGGAAGCGGGGAGAGTTGCCGATCCGTTAGGTGATCCGTGGTGGTAACATATGCCCCCCCCCCCCCCCACTAGAGAGAAGTTGGCTAAGACCGCCACTGGGGCGCGGGTTAAAGGGACCCTCCCACCTTCAAAAAAGCTAATGAATTGGCATGAAAGTGATGTCGCTCGGTTCAGAAAGAGCAAAAACCAATATCTACCAAATTTCATCGAAAAATATTCACCGGTTTTCAAAATATTAGCCTTTTACTTTTGTTTACTTTTTGGGATCTCCGCTGTTCCTAGCGACTTTATCTGAAAGTGCGGCATTTGTTGCGCGCAAAGCAGCATATACCACCGCGTGCTACCAAACGTTTTAGTAAAAGATTTAAAAATCGTTAGATATCTGCGCTGACGTCACACATTCAGAGGGGTATTCCTATGCATTAGCCCCTCTGAATCAAAATGCGGCTATTTTGAAATTCAATATTTCCGATTTAAGGCATTTCTCGATGTTGTGAGTGCCGAAACCGGTAATTGTGAGCCAGGGACCCCATTTTGGCTATCTCAACTCAAATCTAATGTTAAGGTGGGAGGGCCCCTTTAAGGAATCAAACGGTGATTGAATAAAAATCAAATGAATCAATCCCCGCGTTCGATTTTTTTTTTTTTTTTTAGTGGCCCTAACTTACGTTACTGGCCTCGCGAGGGCATATTTACGTCTGGACAACGAGTTGCGGGGAAAAGTGCTGATTTTGTTGCAGTTTTAGGAGCCGGTGATAAGGCTGGATTTTTGGGTTACATTTTCGTTCTGATTCATGTATTTCATAGTGTTTGGCTTTTGAATATTTAAGTTCTTTCAGATAAATATTACATGCCTTACAACTTTTGTAAAAACGTTTCATTTTTTATAAGCCGACGTTCAGAGTCCTAAAAATACATCAGCACTACAATCATTGTAAACAAACAAATGGAACACCACTTGGCTCTGTTCCAAGGCCATTTTTTAGTTTATCTGGTGGTTTTCTTACTCTTGTACGTCGTTTTGTTGGATCTTGAATATTGACTTATATCATATTTAAGAAGCATGTTGACTGAAAACAATCCGAAGTATCCAGGAGGCTGACAGAGGTCCTGACTCCTGCTGAGCGATATCAATATCAAGTTGAACAAGTTATGAAATTTTGGTTGATAAACGCAAGGTGATCGGGCTCATATCAGCAAGAAAAAGTAAAATTAAAAGAGCTTTTTGGCCAAAAACAAGCTATAATATTGCAGACCTTGGAGCAATACCTTCTGAAGAGCACGCTGAGCAGGATCATGCCAGAAAATGTTGACTGATGAGCGCATATTGATGTATTGGTATCAGTTGGGCAAACTAGACTTTTGGAATCAAAATATGGAGGCATCAATAATTTGATTCTGGTGGGAGGAGCCATGACCAAATATGGGCATGGAATCAATTTTTTGATTCATTTGGGTACACTTTTGACTTCAAATGTATCGTTACGGTTGAAAAAAGGCCCATGACGGTGAGATTTTTCTTTAAAAAGGTAGAAAAATGTGTTAGGTTTGCAAAAAATGTTACCTCAAAACTAAGAAATTGTCCCTTTGGCCTTGTGAATGGGAAAAAGACACAGCCACTGTCCATCACGTAAAAGCTGTTTTGAGGAAATCATACTGTATGTTATTTTTGTATCATGGATCACATACTAAACAATCAGTATTTGTGTAAAATGGCAAAATGAAATTTTCAAACCCCTAATTATCATTGTTGTAGTACTTTTATAGTTATTATATGGTTTTTACCTGTTGCCTCAGTTTTTGTATTCTTGACAAGAAAAAATTGTGAATTGTTATCAAATGTAGTGAAGGTTTAGTACAACAATGCTATAGGTATCTGTTGTGGTGCTGAGGATACCACTAAATGAGAATAATAGCAAGATAAATGTGGTATTCCTGCAAGTCATTGTTGCCTATCTGTTAACATTACCTGTGAATCAAAATAATGATTAGCCAGCTGATGGGGAATCAATATTATGATTATCTGTTTAAAGTGAATCAATTCCTTGATTGCCTTTCACTACCTATAGAATTCAAATTGTTATGTTAGGAGCAATATTATTTTGCTTAGGAGATAGTTCCAGCATTTCTGTTCAAGATCAGGCATGCTCCTTCTTGAAACACTCTCTTATTTCTATGTGATTGGTAAGTTAGAAATGGTCTGCATTTATGCCCAAATATGGTCATAAGGAATCAATCTTTTGATGCCTCCATATTTTGATTCCAAAGGTCTAGTTTGCCCAACTGGTATGGATATTGAATGCTAACTTACAACAGCAAGATAAATTAGTGCTAACTTTCAAGTTAAAAATCTAGAATGAATTGACTATGGGCAGCTTAGATGCTTCATGCTATGCAGATTGTAATGTGCATCAGGTACCTAATCAGTGTCTGGCAAATGAAACATGCGATCATTCCATTGCTACTGGAGGAGAAAGCTTGGATCACTAAATCCACTTTATGTTGATTTTGATGTTAGTCATCACTGTATTTCTTGAAAAAAGGATTTATTAGAATTGTCAATGTGACAATCCATGCAACGATGTGATCATATAATGTGTTCATAGTCATTCGTGATAGTGATTATTGGTCCAATATACAATGGCAAAGCTCTCAGTCTCAGCGTTTCTTCCTGTGGATGCCCAGCAGTGACTCAGAGCTTAGAAGTATTAGTTTTCTTCA